CATCACTCATAGCTTTCCATAGACTACTTTTCTGGAAACATTAAGTGGTTTAGCTTTTCCAGACCTTGCTTTTCATTTATCCTCAACTTGTTCTTGCTTATTAAATTAAGACAATTGTGTTCTCCCTTTTGTTGTGGTGCTGCATTGCCCCACAGCTTGCTACTGGCAGGCTACCTTCCAGTAGGCAATCAAACACAGCCCATATTCTCCTTGCTGCATCTCTCTGGGAAGCTGCATAAAATCATCCTTAATGGGTTTTACCTACGCTGATGTGTTTTCCCTCCTATCTAACAATGAAACACTGCAGTCATTGAAACCATTTAATGGTGATGGTGCCTAGAACACTTTATGCTGCAATTAGCCAATTAAGCATTATTTCTGGTGCAGTGCAGGTTCCTGTTTTGCAGCTGAGAGCCACAAGTCAGGCTGGAAGTGAACATCAGCTGGCAAGGGGGGGAGGGGAGAGAGAGAGAGAGAGAGAGAGAGAGAGAGAGAGAGAGAGAGAGAGAATGGTCTGCAAAGCAGCAAGCTGTAGTCCCTTCCTCACATTGATTAACTGCACTTGTCAGGGCCCGAGGAGAAGGAGGGCATTTCTGAATCGCTCCAATTGCTCATAAAAATCTTGACAGATGTGCTCAGCAATGTTTACCAATGTCATTTAGCCCACAGGTCCTGGAAGCCAAATCTTCCAGCTACCATTTGTAAAAAAGATAATTTTCATAGGCAAATATATGCCACCTTGGAACATGGGTGTGAAGCTGCTGAGTTGGAAATCATTAGCAAATTTGATGTTGTGCTGCTTGCTTGGACCCTGCAAAGATTGAGAGAGGCTACTTCACTGCAGATGTGTAATCACACTATCCATTTTGTCGTGTTAGCAGTTTCTCATTGCAGGCTGCAGGTTGGTTGGTAGAGATGGGCAAATCTGTCAATTTCATTTCCCCTCCATTTAGAGTTACACCCAAACACAACCCTTGTCTTTTACAGAATCTGATAGTGAATATTCTTTACAAGTTGCCTGAATGTCAGTTTTTGATAATTTTGCAGTTTTTGACTATTTTGCCAACGATTTTGCAGCAGCAATCAGCAGCAGCCCAGGGAAGCAGTGCTCATATACGGATTGTGACATAAAATCACTGAATTAACCTTGTGCAGGGCAGAAATCATATGGTCAGCTGAATGAAGCACTTTGCTGGAGGGGTGTGTGGAGCAGTTGCAAGCTTAAATACTCATAACCACACACAAACACAATCCAGAATTTTCCTGCACGCAGAAATCAAACAAAACATAATAGCCTTGTTTAGGCATTCTTAAACTTCATCTATGAAGAGGGTGTGGAACCTGATGTTCTGCACCTCCCTACTCTACCCTCAACCTTCCTGGACTGAACAAAATAGCCTAAAGTGGAGATTGCAACGGTGTTTAGCTGAGCACACATAATTTGTTTGTTTTTCTGTACGAATCACTTCTCATAAACACCTTGAAGTAATTTCACAACAAAAGCATCAGCAATAAAAAGCAATTAAAACAATCACACAATTTCATACATAAAAACAATTATAACAACTGAAAAGCCACTTTCATAGTCAAAACCCACTAAAATCACTTTCGTAGGTAAATCCAATTAAAAATAATGCCATACCTAAAAACAGAGCAGATACAAAATGGGATAAAGATATTCCTGAAAAGGCTCTTTGGAATAAGATTTTTTCCCCCCAATAGGCACCAGTAAGATAATAGAGATGGTGCTTGTCCAATATGTACCAGGATGGGGTTCCAAAGCGAAGGTGCCCCCTGTGGGGCTTTTGTGCCCAATAACCTGTTGGGTGGCTGTGCACAGCCAGAAGTTCAGCAAAGCGATTAAGCTTTCCACAGCAGATGAAGTGTACCAGAAGTCATTTTACCTAGGAAACACAAAACACACTGCACACGTGTTATACACAGTTGCTTCAAGAAAGCTTCTCTCTCTGAGCCCAGAGAGGGTTTTTCAGGTTTCAGAGTACTTGATTAAAAAGACCCAACAAAATAAAATAATTTTCACCAACTTATGGAGAATTAATTCATTCCGTAAAGGCACAATTCCTATCTCATATGGAATGAACCTTCTGATGAGATGGTATCTGAAGAAGGCCCTCTCCTGCAGAACTCCCTGTGTGGTTGGGTGAAATGGTTTTTAGGCATCTCCCTTCAGATCCTTTCAGACCTCCCAGGTCGCTGTGAGACGGCTGAGGCTGGAAGGACAGGGCTGGTGGGGATAGCCCTATGGACAGCAGTTAAGAATGCCTGAACAGAAGTGAGTTATTTTCAAGGAGAATAGTAAATTACCATGGTAGGTGTGGCTGAGTGAGAAGAATGCCTTTGATCTTATCACTGCTTTCTCTATAAGGCCTATAGTAATAACCATTGTTGTGATGTTCTTGCCTCACTGTCACTCCTCTCCTTCCAACATTTTCTACATCTGTTCTTAAATCTGGTGTAGTATTGGCGGTGGATGAGCAACAATGTCAGATCTGTGGCTGAACAAGATGACGAAATTCGCTCCTCGTTCCTTGTTAGCAGCTCCTAGCTCCTTACGCAGTTTGACAGCTGCAGATGCAGCGTGAATAAGGGGCTGTGATTTGAATAGCACAATATGCTAGCTGGTGTTTTGTTTTGTTTTTAACTAACTCATAGGATTTCTAAATTGTTTCTTCTAAACTTTTGGAACCAGAAAATCGCATACAAGGATCATACAAATCTCATGGATGCTTGTTGGGTTTGATTTCTATGTATTCCGATGGGTACTGACATCTCTCCCCACCAGGGCTAATGCTCAGATCAGAATGCAATTATCCTTCATAATCTGCTCTTCCCCAAGTCATGTCACTACTTTCAATGGGTCTACTCTGTGTATGGCACACATGAGATACAGCCCCTTTTTCTTGACTCAAAAAAGTACACATAAGCATACATAATTCACATTTCAAGACAAAATTAATTTAGAAATGCATACATTGAAGTATAAGTGTGATCTAAATGCACGTTTTGTGATTTAAATGTGTGTCAATGTGAGCATTTAAATACAAACTTCAACATATTTAAAATAAATTAATTACAGATAAACGGGAAAATGAGCAGGAACAGGTTTACGAAAAAGCACATGTCAAATTGACATGGAATGGAATTGACTCATCCATACACACCTATGCATGGGTTATGATAAATGACTGCATGGTAGTATCTCTAACATGGATCAACATTTGTTTCACTTTGGCTTCAATCCTATGAGCCTTGGACAGTAGGGTCATACACTAGTTATCTCTTTCTGAATGGAAAGAGAACTCTGATCTTGGAGATGGAGAGTCAATGCTGGATCCTCTTTCCCAACCACTGTGGAAACTCTTACATCCCTGGCCATACTGATGTTTGAGCACCAACATCAATGCACCAAATGGGGTATACAGGGGGAAATTGAGGGACTCTTCTTCACTTCTATTCAAAGACTTTTAAAAAGCCACAGTAGGTTATCGCTGATGCCTTCTTTTATAGGGTGAATATTTTACTACGATCAATCCGCAAATCACTATTTTTGCTGGTACAAGATAACTAGCTGCCAGATTTTTATTGTCCAGTGCTTAAACATGTCACACTGAGGTCAATGGGTTGTACATCCTAGGAAATAAGCGTTCAGCCCTTGGGGGAAGGTATAAGAAAATAAACATAAAGGAATATAAGGATGATGTAAAATGGGTATTTTAAATAAGATCTCAGGGCTTCAGCATAATAAAATCATTTTTGCTTTATACATTTCCCCCCAAAGTGGAGTGTGGAAAAGACTGGTCAGAGAATGGAATTTGAGAAGGTGATGGCAGGTGCAATGTAATGTGGGGAGCTGAGAAGATGCTGCATGGAAGAAGGAACAGTATGATTTGCTCACACACCTTGATGCGTTAAAAACCAATCAGTAGTGAAAATACAACAAAACATTTGCAGGGGTGTAGATTGCTTCGCAGACAAAACTATTTAACACGGGAACTATAGGTTTAAATAGCATCTATTGTGGGTTAAGAACACGGGTGTCAAACACAAGGCCCGCGGGCCGAATCCGGCCTGCCAGACCTTGTCATGTGGCCTGTGTAGCCGCCGCCAGCCGCCAGCCTTCACCTTTCATTCTCGCCTTTTTTTTTTTTTGACACAAGAAAGCGCATGCGCGGCAGCCTACAAGCCAGAGAACGTCTGCCCTCTAGCGGCGCTGGCCGTTCTACACAGGAAACCTCCACTTTACATGTCCTTTACATAGTCCTACAGATACAACCGGCCCTTTGAGGGTGACCAAACTGCTGATGCGGCCCCCGATGAATTTTGAGTTTGACACCCCTGGTTAAGAAGAATAAATCTGTTTTGCCTTGCCAGAATCTCAAATCTAATTTCAACATCAGCAATGGAGCTGCCTCAGAGGATAAGACCCTGAGCAGCGAATTCAAATCACAAGAAAGGAGATTCTGACTAAATGTTAGAAATAACTTCTTGATGGTAAGAGCTCTGTGGCAGTGGAAAGGGTTACCTCAGAAGGTGGTGTACTCTCCTTCATTGGAAGATTTAAAGCAGAGGTTGGGTGGCCACCTGCCAGGGATTCTTTAGCCATGATTCTTGTGTTGCAGGAGGTTGGACTAGATGACTCTTGGGCAGTGGCGTTGCAAGGTGAGGGCGAGGGGCGGTTCAGCTTGGGTTCCATGTCTGGGAGGGTGACAAGAAGCCACCCCTTGGGGTGCTTGCCCTGCCGCCCCCGCCCAGGCGTGGCGGCACGAGCGGCCATCACGCCACCGCAGCCGCATGTGGAGGATCCTCCGCTTGTGGCTGCAGCCGCGAGCAGAGGATCCCGCCACTGTCTGTATGGTGTTTGAGCGGCGCCGGCAGCAAACCACTCCATACAATGCATGTGCTGTGTCACACACATGCACTGTACATAGCGATGCCACACATGTGCTGTACATAGTGGTTTGCCACCAGCGCCGCTCCCTCCTCCCCAGCTCACCGTAAGCAGCTACTGCTTTGCTGCTTTACAGCGAGCCAGGGAGGGGCGGACGGGAGCCACGGTTCCCCCTCCCTCCCTCTCCGGCTCGCTGTAAAGCGGCAAAGTGGGAGCCACTTATGGTGAGCCAGGGGGCCCCCTCCCACCTCCCTCCCTCCCTGGCTCACTGTAAGTGGCTCCCGCTTTGCCACTTTACAGCGAGCTGGGGAGGGAGGGAGGAGGACGGACAGGAGCTGTGCCTCCCGAGAGGACGAGCTGCGCAGATTTGCTAGTGCCCCAGCAAACTGTCATAGCAACATTCGGTGCCCATACACGACTCCCAAGCCTACCCCGAGCTGTCAATGTGGGGGGAGGGCATGGCAAAAAAAATTCCACGCCAGGTACCATCTGGGCTTGCTACGCCTCTGCTCTTGGGGTCCTTCCCAACTCTACGATTCTGTGATGCTATAGAGAAGCAGATGACACCTTTGTGTTAGCTTCTTCACCTTCTTGCATAAATCCGAGGACAATAATAGAATTTTGTGTCAGTGTGCCCTCATCTTCATTTGAAATCAAGACAGTGGATGGGATTCAACTCAGCTGTTGCATGCACAGAATGAGATCAGCTTGTGCAATGGGACTCCCCCTTCCCTGCATGCTGGTGCACCCTCTATATCCGATCTGCAGGGTTGGGGAAAAATCCAAGAACCAGTTTAGGTGGTGCATGGGGGCCCACGGGGGGAAATTACACAAGTGGACCTTGTTTCTCATGCACATACCCCACTTAGCACTACAACGAATTTCATCTATAGCTCTTTGTTGCTCTTTCAGAAGGCATTTTGTTAGGGTTGCCTAACATTTCCTGGGCATATGTGGAACATTGCAGTTGGCAGCAGTGTCCAGGCAGAAATTGAAAAAAAAAAGTTCAGGAAAATCTGGATGTAGGACAGCCCATGTTGGCTGTGCCATTTTTGGCGATTTCCCTTAAAAATATCATGGGGAAGCAGAGTGACCTACGAGACCCTCACAGTAGACTGCCAAGAAATCACATTTGATTATAGTATTAACTGGGTGTTCCTCAGCATTATTTCTTCTCTTTCCAAGAATCAAGCAGCTCTTACTGCCTGCCGTGCTTAAGCTCTCTCTACTGGTGTAATAATGGGGAGCCTCTCGCAGTATGGAACCCTTCACTTCATTTTCTCATCAACTCCTTAATTTTAATGCTTTTCCTAATCGCTTCATTTCTCACACTGAGACAAATAACACTCTAGCATACCGCACCGCATAAGATGTGTGAGGGCTGGCTCCATGTCCAAAATAAAGCTTTTGCTCGTAGGAGAAGGATATAAAATCGATGTGGCAATAACAGTGCCACTGGAATGTTCTAATGTGTCACTCTCAGAGGGAGACAAAACTGAAAATGGCCTGAGTGCTCCAGATCAATTCCCCCTCTCCCTCCCAATCAACATTTTTATGGGAACAAACCACATGCGTGGCCTTTTATGCAGAGAGATGGCTGCTTATTCTCCCTGAGTTCCTTAAAAAGGCACAGATGGGATGATAAAGAGTGACTTTTTCCATAATCATTTAAGTTGTAGGCATAAAACGTTTACAGCTCACACAAAAATGATGCCTGTTGTAAAATTCAGATTCACATATTTAACAAAAGGCATGGAGTAACTTCAATTTTTTACCCCAGTCTCTGTACAAAAGCAAGTTTCCAAAGGAGAAATTCAATTCAGTTCACATTTACAGCTGGACTTATCTACTTTCCAGTAAAATACGGGGACCAAAATAAAGCTATTCTTCAAAATTCATACTTCTCTGAATTTTGCAATGCAATTCTCTAGCAAAATGATGTGTCTATATCTTTATCTATCATCTCTCTCTCTCTCTCTCTATGTGTCTATCTGTCACATACACACACAAACACACACACTAGGTTAAAGTGTCTTTAGAAATGCACATATTAGTGAAAATCACATTAAAATGCTTCATATTAGGAGTAATTGCTTTGCCAAAATGTATACATATTAGGAGAAACTCATACTAAAATGCTGATGAATATTTATTAGGGATTTAGAAAAGATCACGAAACTGAGGTGGAAATGTGAACTTAAGATTATTATTTTTTAAAAAAGAAACAAATAATAAATCATTTCTATTAGTTTCCCAATAAAAAAACATCCAATTAACAAATCCATGAAATAATCCAATAAAAATCAATAAAAAACAGCCAAATTACAATCCAAATTATTAATTATGAATGTGGCAATGAATTTTCCACCCCCTGCCTCCCCCAGGAAATAAGATGCTAATAGTCTTTCCCAAGTGAGGAACTTGGGGCAGGCACATGAGGGCCAAATGGCCAATCAGGAAGGGGTGGCAATGAGGGTTAGAATTAGGACCTAACTCTCTATATAGACCCTTCTCACCCATTCTTCTACACATAATGGTGACTATTTTTGCTAGTGACCATATAAAGGGCAGTCTGATGGCATGGCATGGCTGTAATGTAGTTGTAGTCTTCCATTCTAAGACTATGGAGAGTTCAAATACTCATTTTGGAAGGAGTACAAAATTATTATAATTATTAGTTTGTTGTTGTTATACTTATCACCAGAAAACCTCTGGGTACAACAATATTATTATTTTTATTGGAAAAAATCATACGCCTACCAGGAGATGCCTTTTCCCATTAACATTCATGCAAATGCACTCATCATCTCAAAGCAAAACTTGAAGTGACATTTGAAAAATGATGGTTGCATTTCTTATAGCTAAAAAGGCGCATATATATATATATATATATATTCCTGTAAATGAAAATGGATTGTATGTTGCAAAGCAATGTCTACAGTATTTTCATTAATTGCACTATTAATATCACACTGCAGGAGTCCTCCACTAAAAAGGACGCTGCTGGATTTCTCCGGGAATGACTTCTAAAGCTTCTCATTGATAACGTGATTGAAAATGTAATTGCTATTTCTTACCAGTGTTCCAAAAGAGAAAGTAGCGCACCTGAAAATATTCAAAATCATTTTAATACTGTAGGCTCTGATTCTACAACACATGTGTGAATTAGCTTTAGAAGTGCAAGTGCCACACAGAGCCACCACTGAGCAGATTCATCACCAAATATACACTCCTGATCCGGGCAGAATGGACTAGGACTTTCCCAGAACCTTGTGTGCTTTTTCTTTGAGTCACTTTGAATGTAGTACACCTCATTGCTGTTGTAGTAGGAAATCCTATGCTAAAAGAACCTGACAGGGGGGGAAAATACCCACCACCACCACCAGTACGACCCTGGAAGCCAACAGATAATATTTACAGCAGAACTGGGGGTTCCACATAACCAGAAGCCATTTCCAGGGCTGACCCAATACATTTTGTAGCCTGAGGCAGAACAGCAAATGGTGCTCCTTCTCAAGAGTTACAGTGCCTGCTGTGGCTGTAAAGACTGATACGGGAGAGACATGTTTTATTGCAGGTGGGGCAGATGAAGGTGCCTGGTTTCGCTGGTGCAAATGCACCATGGCGTTTCTTCTCTCTGCACTTCTCCCAGTGGTCATTCCTCTTCTGGTGGCTGCTGTGAATACACAACCTAACTGTCTCCGGGCACTGCAGTCATCTGCAAGGGATCCCCGAATGATAGCGGTAGCCCTGCTACTCCCCCAAACAGAAAGTACAGTGGGAAGATCTGATAGATGTACATGTGCTTCAGCCCAGTATTAATCCGTCTAAAGTTTGGAGGGAGAAGAGCTGCAGCTTTAGGGAAGGGCCATAACTCAGTTGTGGAGCACCTCCTTTGCATACAGGAAGTCCCAGGTAGGCCTGGAGTTCCTGTCCGGAACCTCGGACAAGCACTGCCAAGTCATTGCATTGAGCTAGATGGCCAGTCAGTGTGATTTAGTATAAAGCAGCTGTATACTACTGTGGCTGACATCCCATATTAATCAAGTGGAGAGTAGACCTATTTAAAAGGTCTCCATTTAAAGGACTCCATTTAAAACAGTGATAACCATACACATTGAAAATCTGTGGACTTACCATCAATTTCAATTGGTCTCCTATGAGATTGCCTTAGTTGGACATCACCCTATTTATACACATTAAAAATGGAAGGGTTAGCAAACTGCTCTCTGAAGGGCCTTCCCCACTCCTTTAAAAGAGTGGTGGTTGGAGGCAAGCTCTGAGGGGTAGGTAGGCAAGAGGGTGGGGCAGGTGTAAAAGGGGGGCTGACCAGGTATGAAGGAAGGGAGTTGGCAAAGGGGTTGGTGGGTAGGCAGGATTGGCGATCTGTCACTAGTATTTCCATTAAAAATACAATTTATTGTTACATTTACCCCCAAGGAGCTCTGGGTATTCTCCACTCCATTCTATACTTACAGCCAGAACCCTGTGGGAGAGTCTGGAATGAGAGAGGGTGATTGGCCCAGGGTCTGCCAATGAGCTTCATCATCCCTTCCCGCTTCCTGGATGCAGCGTTGGAGAGCCATGATTAATTCCTCCTCTCAATGTGCTGGATATCAGGAAAAATAATATTCATGATTACTACTTCCTTTTAAAGCATCTTGCATACCTGTAAGTAATAGGTCCATCACTCACTCTAAGACATCTTAGTTGATTAATCATGCGAGTTTTAGTCCATTGATTGAATAAGCTATTGATTAAATATACATCAATTTGCATATGGGTAAAAGCAATGCTTCAGAAGCAATAAATAAATAAATTCTTGCTTTGTTTTCAGGGGATGGATGCATCTGTCAGAGTGAGCATCTGGGGTAACAGGCTTTTTACATATGGTAAGAGGCTTTTAAATGTTACATCCGTGACAAGGATTGCCAAAATGCTTTTCCTGTTTCCAGTACTAGAATTAAAGATTTGTAGACTTCAAATTGTCTCTAGCCTTTTACATCTTAGCACCTGTCTCAAAATAGAAGAAGATGTCTGACCTATAAAAAGAAAATGTTGACTTTTTGCTTTAAAAACAATTTCCTCCACAAAATGGCTTGGGGGGGGGATTCCGAACAGCAGCTTCATTTTTCTATCTTAAAGGAAAAGGGAGAGGGTGGAGAAAAGAAGAGAACAAGATGATTTCTAACCTCATAATTATCAGAGATTAACTTAGACGAAGTAATGATCACAGAACACTTTTGTTATTCCCAGAAGCTTTAACTGGGAAGTCAATTTTAAAACACTCATTATAACATTGAAAATAGTATTAATTTG